TTCTCTATTTTATTCTATAATGGATTTAGATCGGTTAGGTACATAAAAATTCATTTTCCATAGCCAAAACATTCATTTCATTGAGGACAGTAGGACAAGGAACAATAGCTCAGGTTCAAGTAGATCAGTTAGGTAAGTAACTAGATTAGTTATGTCAATTTGCTGGTATTATGTTGCTCTATGCAATATATTTTTTTGAAGAACGCTCTATGCAATATATTCACAACTCTCATTTTCAAACCAAGAACACTTACTGGTTTCAACCAACCTGAGCCATCTAACATGGTTGTAATCCTACCATGTCTTAGAGAGCAAACACCACCAGTTGCATGGAAAAAGGCCAAGAGCAAGATAAGGGAAAGCCACTATGTTCTGTTGCTCCTGACATGCCAGCTATGGGCACAAGGAACAGAAATAAGAGTCATGCAATGGGCACTAGTTGCAAAAGAAAGATTATGGAGTAAATTAGAGATATGGCTAGCTGATTAGGTTTTATTTCGGTACTGTCAATTTATCCAGGGGCACAGCTACTGGGGGTGCAGGAGGGGGCCAACACCCCCCTATCCGACCCCCCTCCCTGCTATACTGACTAGCGCATTAGCATGTTAATTAATTAATAAGAAAGAGACGGAGAGACAATGCAAATCAACTCATCGTCTTCATTGCTTCGGCTTCACACGTCTCTCCGTCCTCCTATTGCATCTCGCTGTCGAGCATGGTGCCTCAAGTCTCAAACTGTCAAGTATCCAATAATACAACTAAAGAGCTAGATTCAAGCTTTTTTTATAGCAGAACACATGATATCTTGTTTTGTTATCGGCATTGCTTACTCTGACTTATGACTTGTTCACCCTGCCCACACCCCCCTAACCATAAATCTTGGCTTCGCCCCTAAATTTATCTTGTGGAGGTTAATGGATTTTGCTGTTGTGATGCCCAACAAAGTGCTGTAGACATAGCTACATTCACATATTTTGCTATTGTAAGGATTGCTTCATCATGATGTAGTGATGTACTGTTATGGACCTTATGTCATTATGCTCATGATGTACTATTTAGTTAATTTGGTTTGTCGATTGCACTATTGTGTATGGAATGGAAAGTTGGTTTGGTTATTGAAATGAAATTGTGGTGTGTGCATGATATGAACTGTTTTGTATGTATGGTGGAAATGAAATTTGGTGTGTGCATGATATGAAGTGTTCTATACAGGATGCTACTGATTTGTACGATGCTCCTGATGCTCTTAATGATCCAGATGTATTTTATTTCAGAAATTTTTGTATGGGTGCTCTTTTCATTTCCTTCTTGTCAATTGGTGCTGTCAATGGTCCTAATGTTTTTGTATGGATGCTCTTGATGTTCTGCAATAGATTTTCTCCATTGTCCTTGCTTCCTGATGATTGTTCTCTATCACCCTGTATAATGAGAGGTTTAATAGCCAAAAGATCTGGTATTCTAATGTAAATGTACCAGAACTTCTTCTATAGAGGAACCAATTTCATGTATGTTGGAAACTGATGACGACCATACAGACAGTTACTTTGATTTTCCTGATACTATTATTTTTTTTTTCAAAACAAAAGGTTCAAAGTATTGCATTTTTTCAATACCATAATAAATTTTTTATACACTCATTAATTTAGTCTCATGAAATACACATACTGTGCAGTCAACATTTTTCAATTGTTTTCCAATCTAGCTGCCGCTCCTCCATCTACAATGGTATTATGGGCATTTGCAACCACACATAAAAGGAAAAATAAAGAAACCTATTGGGAGAGACATAGAAGGGATCAAAGAGAAATTTTGAGGATATGGAGAGGATCGAGTAAAAATTGATGGTATGAAAGGAATTGGACGAGTTTTCAATGAGTAGTTAAGAGATTTTCTCTATTTCAAATCCCTATCTAGATTAGGTTTTGTGGGATGGAGGGAGTAGTGGTCTCTCTCGATTTCCCCCATCTTCTTTTTACAGGGCTGAGAAGACAAGCCGTGCTAATCTATATATCTGGACTGATGTGACATGTGCTAGGACTTCGAATTTAAACAAATATATTGTACATATATTAAGATAGAGGGAATACTACTAGAGAATATTTTTTAGGCACGCTTGTACTGGGTGGGTGAGGGGAGGGAGGGGGGTGATGCGCGGGTGGTCGTGTGCTTGCACCACCGCGCGATCAGTTTCCCCCCTCTATCTCTCCTATCTCCCTCTATATGTATACAAAGTTTATGCATATGTATATAAAATATATACATATGTATTTATATACAATATATATAGTTTATATGTATACACACGTATATAAAGTTTGTATATGTGCGTATAAAAAATCGAAAACAATATATACACGTATACAAAGTTTATATACTTGTATACAAAATTTGTATAAAAAACCAAAAAGAAGTGGGGAAAGAAAAGAAAGGAAATCACACTGTTCACCCCCCACCCCCTCTCCGCACGCCACGTGTCCAGTCGCGCGGTGGGGGAGGGGGGTGACTAGCCGCGCATCTTATGTGTTGCTCAAACTGAGATAAGCTTTTAAAAGTTGCTCTGATTTTGCTACAGGGATTTGTGTTTATGCTTTAACAAAGTAGAATTCATCCAGGGCTACCACAAGACAATGATCTTTCAATGTCCAATGCAGAAAGTGAAAATGTTCCCATCCAAGGTCATTCAATTACCATATGGTCATTGATTTCTGTACATGAATTATTTACTGCACTCCTTAAGTTCTGCCCTTTCTTGCTTCTTGATATTATTTGTTCACATCATTGTCTCGCTCTATTGATTTCTTTTTGCAAATGTTTTTGGAAAAATTATTGCCGTCTCCAGTGCAGCAATCATATCTACAAGTTCATCAGATTTCGGGATGAGATGAATAGCGCCAGGTAATTAACTACACCTTTATTTAATAGCTTGATGTTTCAAGTGTGAGAAAAACTTGGATTTTCTGAAAACAAAGAGCTATTACTTACTCAAAGCATTGTGGTTGATATTGTATTTGATTTACTAATGACAAACATGATTAATTGTTGCATTAATTGCATGTTCTCGGAACTTTTTTTGAGTCATGATTGAGCAGGGTAACGTATAGGCTGCCTAGAGTAAGAATTGCATATATTCGAGATGGAGTATACAGGTATATCTTGTACCTAGAGTAAAAATTGCATTGTTGGTCTAAAGAAAAAGAATTCATTCGACACGTTCTTCGTACTTTGAATCGTGTAATTCGAGGAGAACTGAGGAATTTCGGGCTTGCAATATGAGCTTGCCAATCAGAACATGATTAATGCTTTATTTAGCTGATGATAAGACTTGATAATTAAATAAACCGCGTTCAATTGTGCTGGCCTATATATACTTCCGCGGTTACTTTCTAGTATAGTAATTATATCTACAATTTATTTCATTCTAAAACTAAACACATACATGCTAAATCATCATTTTTATAATATTTCAATCTAAACCATTTCATCATTTCTCCAATATCTAACATATATCCTACAGTAAAGTGTGAGGCATCATTTAGTTACTGTAATTGCGACTGGGGCGGCTGTTCACTTGTGGTACTGTCTACTTTGCTATGGGCCTTGAACCCAATAATGGCATTTGAGCCTGACCAATTCTCTCTTCAAATAAGTCTATTTTGCATCCTTCAACTCATTCCCTCAACCGCAATAGCGGGTATAACGCCCCCTTAATCTTTGAAAACCAGAGCAAATCGAGTCTTAGGCTGTTTGAATAGCGGGTTTGTCTTACGTGTCACTCATAGGACCCACATGTCACTAGACGCCGACGAACTTCACTAGCTCCGATGACTCCCATATGAGAGCCACATAGGACGAAACCGCTACCCAAACAGTCGAGGAACTCGATTTGATCTGGTTTTCGAAGATTGGGGAGATGTTATAGCCGGTATTTACGGTTGTGGGAGACGATTCAATTAGGAGCAAGAGCTGAGGGAGGTGAAGTAGATTTATTCCTTCTCTCTTCGGCCTTTGTGCTTTGGCTCAGCTTGGCCCAAACAGATTTGTAGAGCTGGCCCAAATTAATGGTACCTACGAAAAGTGGCCTAAAGCAGATTCTATTATACTTCTCTTGAATTTTTGGCTTTTCTTTCCTTTGCTACCGACGCCAGTGTAGAAATTCCTTACGGAATCAATTTCTTTTTCGATTCTTTTTTTTTTCTCTTTTTTGATGGTTACGGAAGCATCTTTCCACTTTTATGAACAAAAATGTTAATGACTTGAGTATAGCAGTTGAATACTAATAACATTATTATCACTGCTCATGCTAAGGAAACCATTATCCTGCGCAATTAGAATTGCACATGTCAAGTTCTATCCCTTGGGCATCAACAATATCTTATGACTTTACCATGACCCGTGACTTGATCATGAGCACATGATAAAACCAAACTGTTTGCGAAGAAAAAACTTATGACTTTCATTTTCAATCTTGGCCACTTGTATTCATCTCTAACTATTCTTTAATAGGTAAATAATGTTTATATCGACAACAAGATGTCTGTAATGGTTTTATTAATCTCAAAACATGATGCTTAGGGGCTGGTCAGATTGATACCATTTTTAGCCATACCACGTTTAGTTTGTTGCTAAACTTTGGTAAATATATAAGAAATTCTACCAAAACTTGATAATGGTTGATGCCATTTTTTATATATTTTGACAATATTGTTAAGGTTTATTTTAGCTACAATCTGCACAGTCCCTCAGTTCCAACAGTTCGAAGATACTGGCTCAAATAAAGTGTACTTGTTGTATGTGTATTCGTGTTTATGCGAACAATATTTCAGAAAAGAAAAGAAAAAAAAAGAATTGCTAACGAAAGAAGAAAAAACAAGAGAGAGAAACAAAACCGGATTCAGACTTGTCGTGCCGGTCCCACCGTGGATTCCCAAAGCTAGGTGGGCCCCACCTGTCAGGGTCACGGACTCTACGCGTTCAGTGGATATAATATCCCGGCCCGGGGGTGGGGTGGGGGGTGTGCCCATCAATTGCGACTCCAGAACCTTCTCTTCTTCCTTGTTCGTTCATCCCCTAACCCTTTCTTTGTTCATCTTGTTCTTCCTCTTGTCGTCTCGTCGAGATGGCCGGGATTGGTCCGATCAGGCAGGACTGGGAGCCGGTGGTGGTGCGGAAGAAGGCGCCCACCGCCGCCGCCAAGAAGGATGAGAAGGCCGTCAACGCCGCCCGCCGCTCCGGCGCCGAGATCGAGACCATGAAGAAGTGTGCGTACTACTGCCTCCCCCACCCCCTCCTACCCTTTTCTTTTGATTTGATTCGATTCGCTTTTCCCTCTCCTTTTCTTTGAATCGAAGGGGTTCTTTTTTTTTTGGGTGCGATTTTTCTTCTGGATTTGATCGATCCCTGCCGCTCCGGTGCAGAGGGAATCGATCGATTCGGTTTGGGGAGTTCGTTTTTGTTTTCTGTTGATTTCTTTTTAGGTTATAGGTTTTTGGGCTTATTACTGATGGACTCTTTTTGGGAAAAAAGATTTCGTTTTTTTTTGGGCGGAGTTGATGTCTGATTTTGAGGGTTTTGTTCGATCTATATGTTGTTCAAAGATCCTTCTTTTATTCTGGTCTTCGCTTAAATATTGATTCTTTCTGTTTGATCTATGCACAGATAACGCTGGAACAAACAAGGCGGCGTCCAGTGGCACATCCCTCAACACCAAGCGGCTGGATGACGACACCGAGAGCCTTGCCCGTGAGTCATCTTCAAGCCCGTATCATCTTATTTGTTAACTACTAATAATCTTTTTGGTTGCGACTTGCGAGCTTATTTATCCTAAAAGTTATACGACCATAGGAAAACTTCTGTTGGATACTGAGGTTGATCAATGTGGTCTTATTTTATTTTAATTTTTGGGGGCACAAGAACAATTCTTTATGAACTAGGTTAGGTTTTACCAAATGCCCTGTTTGTTCTGTCAAGAGTATTTGTCACTGACGAGCCCTGATTATGTTTGAACAATCACTATGTATCACTAAGTTTCAATTTCTCTTTCGAGGTTATTGGTCTCATGACATAGTTATGTTCTAAGCATATATTGATATATAACTTACATAGATATATGATGTTGTCTAGTTTTGTAGCTCCTAAATGTTTCCACCTCATTGATGGCCTGATTGAAGTGTACATTTGCGCTTCATGACAATCTTGCTTCAAATTGCTTAAATTCTTCCATGGTTATTTCACAGTTGTTGGATTCCATTAATAATATTGATTTTCTGTGAACAATGAGTATCATACTACTAAGATGGTCCTTGACATTTGTTATTCAAATTCTTGCTGAATATGTACTGTAAGGACCTATGTCTTCTTGATACATCCTTTTATGATCATCTTCATGGATGCTGCAAGCTTCACAAGCAGTATATATGTGTCTGTATGTGCACCATGCATGAATGGTCAAATCGGAACCGGGAACTTCATATATATATATACTCCATGTTGTGCATATCAAGATCCCCTAGTTGGTACATCACTAGTTTTTTTTTCTACATGTTATTTGGTCTTGCTAACATTTGTTCATGTTAGAATATTTGCATCTGTAGTTTGTAACAAAATGCACCTGAATTCTATTTGAATCTTCACTATATACTTCTAAGCACTTGCTCTGACCCTCTGATATATACCTCTGATGCTGGTGGGCTCCAAAAAAGATTGTCACGTAACTTGGAGATATATATATGCTTGTATTGGGTGTGACATGTAATTGGATTGGATGGGATAGGTCAGTACCACCACTTTGAACGATGAGGGTGATGAGATGATGTTCCAGTTATATCTTGCATGACTATAAGGTCTCAGCCTTACAAATCTGGGGTGTAACTTTAGATCCTACTTCCTAGCTTGGGCCCATATTTAGATCGTAAGTTTGCTTATTCAATGGGCTCGCTCTATAATTGTTTTTGTAGCTTTGATGGTGCTGATCTACAGCAATCAAACAGCTAAATGGAAGATAATCTTCTTTGATGCAATATCATAATTTTATTGAGCTATGTTGACTTTATATGCCACTGTGTGCGCCTAAACAAGATATATTTGATATGAACATTTTTACATCTTAAATGAAAATTTACCATGGGTGCAAAAGCAATCGTACAACCAAATGATGGGGCATTCTAAACATCCATCGGATATAATTGCCTGAAGACAGGAATTTTGACTGTCTGTTCTTTGCTAAAAGATGATTTTTTTACATGGAATTTCATTGGATGGATCAGGTCCTTGTGTTATCTCCAAAGTTTAGCCCCGAGAAAGCATAAATTCAATCTATTACTTGGACTTGCTTGTCCTTTTCATTATTTCTACTGTTCTCTAATCCCTTGTTATTCTCAACATATGCTAGATGAGCGTGTCTCAAGTGACCTGAAGAAAAACCTCATGCAAGCAAGGCTGGACAAGAAGATGACCCAGGCACAGCTTGCACAGGTGCCCTGTCCAACCATACAATTTTAGAATTTCCTAGCGTTACATTAACTTTTACCACAGCCACTCGCACATACACTAACCTTCAACTAAAATATGGTGTGTTTTGCAAACAGATGATCAATGAGAAGCCCCAGGTGATCCAGGAGTACGAGTCAGGTAAAGCTATTCCGAACCAGCAGATCATCGGGAAGCTTGAAAGGGCTCTTGGAACAAAGCTGCGCGGCAAGAAATAATGTTCTACTATTAGGCCCTGAAGCATAGTGTTGGAGCAACCAAAGCCAAAATGTTTGCGTAACCTATGCTGGGTCTTTTGATACCATGCAGGATGTTTCTGTTGGTGCATGAGTGAATACTGAATAACTATTATGTTGTCGCAAACCTTGTAATGCTGCCGCTCTTTGTGTGTCATAGTCCCTAGTGTGCAAGAGTTGTGCTGGACCTTAAAACTGACTTGATAACCTGCGTGGTTTATGCATGATGTTTATTAAAATATCAATGATCTCTTTGGCTGTTTACAACTGATATATTTTCGTGCATGCTGTTCGAGTGTGGCTATCTTGTCCAGTTGCGCCAATGGTGATCAGCATTCAGCAGTTGAAATTGTGTTCTTGGTTGTGTTAAATGAACGGATTTGACTGAAATTTGGAGGTTCCAGTTCAGTTCTGGGGTCTTGTATGGAATGCATGATTGTGAAATTGTATGGTTTACCACGTTCGTGGTTGCAAGCAAGTTCTTTAATTTAATTATTTTCCAATTTTTAGTAAGAGCATTGAAGAAAATTAAATTTATTAGCTTATAGGACTATGTTAAACAGGTCTCTGCATCCTATACCTCTCTATATGGCATTCGTCTCGTTGTGATTTCTCCCTTGTAACAAACCAGGTCAGACGTTGAGCATGAACATCAGGCTGTCTTTGTTTGATTGAGTTGGGAACCTTTTTCTCTCACATAAAAAACGAGTTAGCTCATTAGTGTAATGATTAATTATTTTTTTAAAAAAAACCCTTAAAATGGATTAGTTTAATTTTTTTACAATAACTTTTCAGTTGATTTTTTTAAAAAAGACACACTGTTCAGTAGTTTAAAAAGTATGCACGTGGAAAACTAGAGTGTAGAAATTGGGAAAGGTAAGGAAAAATACATAGCCTTAGAAACACAACCAATCTCCGACACACTATATGTAGAGGAAAGGGATCCTCTGACGTGAAGTTAGAGGGATGTGGTCAGTGACATGTGTGGGTCCATGGACTCATAAACCCACATGTTAATGAACATGTCAGAGGGGAGTCCACACTAGAGGATCCCTTTCTATCATAGTGTTAGGATGCATTGGAGATAATGAATTAACTCTTATACTATCATTGCTTATAACCTTGAAAGCCGGATGAATGTGACTCTCGGTGATTTTCACCTCACTCATGCTCTCTATGGGCCTGTTCGGCTACCATTTATCGCAGCTGCAAGCAGCACAGCTGCGGTCGCACAACCAAGCGCTGCAGCCGCAGTGCTGCCGCAAGAATGGCAGCCGAACAGGCCTTATGTATTGGGTAGGTGGGTGTAGGGGTGAAAACGGTACGGAAACGGATGGAAACCATCTTTATCGTTTTCGTTTTCATATTTTTTTCGGAATCGGAATCGGAAACCTCGGATACGAAAACGGAATTGAATATTATCGAAACCGAAAACGGAGCAAAAACGAACCGGCGCGAATATGGTAACGAAAATTTATCGGAATAAAAAAACCCCTCAAACTAATAAATCCAATTGAATAAGTTATCTATGTTTAAAAGAGTAATGTTGTTGATAAATCCCAATGTAGGAAAAAAAATATTCTTATGTAATTTTAGATTTGCATAACAAATATTTTTTTAAAAAATAACAGCCAAACACCATGGTATTCACTATTTAGCGCTTAAAAAAAAGAATCCAGGGTATTTCAGTCACAAAATTTCTGGTAATTCCGAGAAAATTTCCGAAAATTCCGAGAAAATTTCCAAGAAGTTTCCGACCGATTCCGAGTTCCGACGAAAACTGCCCTTATCATTTCCGATTCCATTTCCGAGAAAATATTTCCGATTTCGTTTCCGTTTCCGAAAAATTCCAAAAAAATTCCGACCGACCGATTCCGTTTTCGAAAATAAGTCTGGAATCCGGAAAGTTTCCGTACCGTTTTCACCCCTAGGTGGGTGGGGTCCACAAACGTTTGATCTAATGCAGGGTTGGTAGCGTCCACTGCATGACTCTCTTCACCTCGAGTACTTCCGATTTCCGAATTCTCTTATGTGGACTTCTGCAAGGAGGAGGAGATGGAGAGACGACGTTGGCGGTGGAGGTTGGCAATCAACGGCGTAGGGAGAAGCTGAGGACCTTAGGAGGCGTCTGCGGCGCAACAGACCATTTTGCATGTTTCACCATGGCGCATGGTGCCAATGCTAGCGCCTCGTGCCTCTGGTTATGCTTGTTGTGACAGAGAGAGTGCGTTACTTAGATTAACTAATAGATGGTATGGATGGATTGCCTTATGTGGAATAGGCCAAATAGAGTGGATGCATGGGCTGGATAGTCTACTAAAACATCTATTGGATAATCCGCTTGAAATGGCGAATAATCCGCATCCCACGTATATTGTCAATACCACATCTATCTCCGAACTACCTGAATCTGAATCCATATCCGTCGGATATAGATAAACCCTTGCCTATTTTATGTACTAATATTGTACTTGCCTATTCATTAAATGAAGTCGTGTATAAAGTTTGTATAATATGTATATATACATTTTTTAGTCTATGACCTTTTCTAAGTGAAATACAAGGGTGGATTCAATAAAGTCCATTCTAATGGTTAAGAGGATCATGCATTTGAAAATGTCACCATCCTTCTTATCTTCTGGTCCTAAGAATGAGTGAAGTGCTATTATAATGAATTTTGACTAATGTCTATTTTAGGCTTTATTCTAAAAATTAGTATAAGCGTGTAACCCTACCATTAATGCTAAACTAAATTTCCAAATGACCCTCCCATCTTGGTATACAACCAACATTAAACCTTAGACATCTATAATCATTATTTTCTTTTGCTTTTCTTTTCATGCATTATGCTCTTGATATAATTTTGTATTTTTTTATCTAGTACGTCAAAACCATGCAGCACAGCCCCGTGATCTCAACCGTAATACTGGCACCTGTTGACTCCGTTTCATCCGCTCTGCCCTAACCCCCGTTCTCATCGTCCCCCAAATCTCTCTCTCTCCTTTCCAACAAAACAAAATCTCCTCACCATTAGTTTCAACAAAATCTCTCACTTCCTGTTACCAGAACATTCCTTGGAATCCTCCTGAGTGGATCAGATCTTCGATTCCTACAAGGTATATTCCATTAGCTGCGCTGCCTTGCTCACTCCTAGAGAAGATATCATCATATAATAACTCGAACGAGAAAGTGCTAAAACATGCTTTTTTTCCTTTTTACGCTAGAGCGCTTGAATCGCCGATCAAGAAACACGGTCGTGTCGATATAGTTGAGTACTCTCTCTGTCAAGAAAAAAATAATCAAACCCTAGAGATGAATCTGGACATATGTGTGTCTAGATTCACCTTAGGGTTTAATTTTTTTTGTTTTATTTGTGTATTTATACTCTGATGAAATTAGAGTTACTCTGATTTCATGGTAATCAGATTAATTTGGGCGTTAGATTTAAGAAAGATAGAAGAGAGAAGAAAAAAAAGGAAGGTTAAAGAGGGCATCCCGAGGGCATTGTGGAGGCCGATCCCTTCCCCCATGGTCGGCGTGCTCGCCGGTTCCACCCAAACCCTAGCAACCTCACGCCGCCACCTCCCTCGCCGCCGGCCGTCGCCCTCGTCGCCGTGTGTCTCCGCCGTCAGCCGCCGGCCGCCCTCAACCGCGGGCTGCTGATTCTGCTTTCGCCCGCATCGGCCACCTGACCAGGGAGAGAGAGGAAGAGAAGGGGGGAAAGGAAGAGGAGTAAAAAGGAGAAGGAAGAAGAACACAGGGGGGAAAAAAGAAGAAGAAGAAGAAGAGAAGAAACGGGGAAAGGGAAGAATTCGGGGATTTCTCTGTGGGTTTCGTCAGATCCTCCTTCGATTTGTGGTTCTTGCTGCCAGGGTAAGCTCTTGTTAGTCCCTAGTTGCACTACCTACACTTAGGAACCAAGGTTTTTTAGACATCAAATAGTTGATTGGAATCTGTTCTTGCGACCTATGAGCTGATATATATCGTTTCGAAATCTGGGATTTATTCATGGGGAATCGGGGCTCTTGGTCTAAATGGAAGTTGTAGATTTCTCTCTAAGCTTTCCGTAGAGTATTAGAACTTAAACTTTTGGTCAGGTGGTTTGGGAGAAAAGCCCCTGGGAGTGCTGCTGTTTAGAATTTGATGACCACATGTAGCAGTTTCAGTCTTTCCCTTATAAATTATGATGGCTATGTGGGCTCATAACTAGAAAGTCTTCACAGAACCAAATGTTGCAGGAGTTGGAGAAAGAATGAGGCGGTTATGTGCTTGCGAAGCAACTGTCCAGTTTTGGACAGAACAGCAATCATCGGTTAAAACTAGAGTCTTTTTAAGCAAACTAGGGACAACGGCTAATAACGAATAGTTAGCGAACTTTTATTAGTCTATTACCTGAAAAGTATTTTACTTTGGACGGAGTGTTAAGTGACGATTTTGAGAGCAGAGCTCTAGCAGGTTGCACGTAGCACGATTGTTGTTCTCTTTGGTTGTCATCCTGTCCTGTTTTGAGTTGTTTTTTTAATGTTATTTGATGAATGTTCAGGTCGTGGTGCGAATCAAGAAGTGGAAACCTCCACCCATCGCTCATCTTCACGCGGTTAAGGCAAGTATATTGTTAAACAGTAAATGGGCGGTGATTATAAATTATAATGTCACAAGATGCCGCCTCTTGTTCTTTCTGTATCATTAATGCTTGTTATGAAGTTATGGAAATGTTATGGTGGTATAATAACGGTTACAAGGTGAAAATGGAGTAAGTCGGCATTTAATGTTAAATGCATTTGCATTATATGCATCTATGGTATGAAGAAGGCCCACCTTGTGTGGGCATATGGGCCTACTTTTCTATGTTATGAAAGAGGGTGAATGTTGACTGGCATTCACCCAAGCAATACCAATATAAGTAATGACATGAGCAAATGAGCATGTAGTTAGCTATTCATTGCATTTGGAGTATGATAAATGTTTAACATGGCAATAGAATAGTTCCTATGTGATGTTTACTGTTTAATTCATATGCTTTGCTGAATCCTGTACTCATGCTTGTTGTTTTGATGTTTTTCCTTGTTAGGTAATAGTTGAAGCCAACATATGCATGGGGAACGGGTGTAGCTCCATATGAGACCACTATATATCACTTATGCAACCTTATCACTACTTTAGATGCTTAGTTAATATTTAAGCTTATTCACCGGATTATTAAACATATTATTTGCTCCACACTTTTCTGAAAAAACTTCTACCACATTGTGTAGACCACCTGTTTTAAGCTACAGTATATGTTAAGTTTATTTCTCGAAATATTTGATTTACCCCTATATTAGAGTAGATAATCTGCAACAACAATCTACTCGATAATCTAAATCAAGTAGGGCTGAAGTGCTGGTGTCTTTTGAGCTTTGGCTGCAAGCGAAACATTAATGATCGTCAGTCATGGTTATGTGTGTATGGCTGCTGTACCTGTGAGCTTGTTTAGTCTTATGTTGAAATGATTATTTGGTTAGTCTAGTCTCTAGTGTCCTTTTTGCAGAGGTGGTGCTGCCAAAATTTGATTTTTTTGTAGTATATTTATGTGTGTGCTGTTGGTAGGATTTAGGCTCACAATCTCCCCGAATCTTTCTCCTCAATTCCAATTCCATTCTTTGATGCAGGAGCGAGCGATCAAATCAGGGGATAATGGAGGAGGACAGCGTCATCAGCAACGGCGGCAGGGAGGAGGAGGTGGTGGTTGCGAACGGCAGTGGCGGAGGGGTAGGGGGGACGGCGAGGAGCAGCGGTGGGGGAGGGGGGAAGGTGGTGCAGGTGCTGCAGAGGAACTTTGGCGAGGTGCAGGGGATTTTGGAGCAGAACCGTGTGCTGATCCAGGAGATCAGCCAGAACCATGAGGCCCGCGACGCCGATGGCCTCACCCGCAACGTCGCCCTCATCCGGGAGCTCAACACCAACATCGCCCGTGTCGTCGATCTCTACGCTAATCTCTCCGGCTCCTTCTCCCGCTCTGTCACTGCCGCTGCCAGCGCCAATAACACCAATGCCACCAACAGCACCTCCCCTTCTGCTGCCGCCGCAGCCAAGGCAAGCAAGCGGTCCCGCGCCACCGACACCGAGTAGAGCGCCTACAACTCCGGCTATCCGATTTCTTCTCCTTCTCGCCCCCATTTTGTTCTCGCTTTTTTCTTTCTGTCTAGAATTTTAGATTTACTGAGCAGCAGGAGGACAGGAGGTAGATTCGGTATCCTGCTAAACTCTTTTTCTCTTTTCCCTCTTTTTTTCTCTTGATGTAATTCAGAGCTGAGATGGACATGACAACAGTAAACACCTGCCTTGTCAGAGATTAAAGAAAGATGCAGATATGATAGACTGATGTTTTCACTGTCATGCCAGCACCCCTCTTTGTAGTGAGAATGTTAGGGAATTTTCCAACCGTGCCCCATTGGAAATGGTTGATGGTTTTTCTGACGAAGTATACCGATTTTATTTGGAATTTGCACACAATTCGTTATATCAACAGTGTAATCTGAACACAAGCGAATTACCATTTTATCATATAATTCTCCTGCAGTAACATGAGATTCTCATCCAGTTAAATAAAATGTTTCTCCATGACGAGTTATTGAAAACCAATCCATGGTTCGCTCGCCTCAACAAAACGCTTATTCAGCAACATGGAAGTTTCATGGAATATAAGTTCACTTTAGGTCCATAATCTTGACATTGAATTTGAATTGTGTAACGCGTCTTTTAACTTGTAATTCCGGTGTACCTCAATTTCAGTGTACTCAAGATCATAGAGCAGTATAGTGCAGACATGGCGAGTTGCTTACGGTCAACCTAGCCGAGTCGGGTGTGGGACCCACATGTCAGCTTCTCCACCCTTTCATTCTCTCCTCTTGCCATCTCTCTCTACTTCTCCCCTCTCTTTCTCTATGCCAAAGTGGTAGACGGAGCGGCCAGGGGTGAAGCTTGGCTGGAGAGGGTAGGTGACGCCACCAACGCCATCCTCTTCGGCATCCTACCTCAATAGACCTCGGCGACGGTGCACGGACGGGGCCACCACTGACAAGATCTACCGTCTTGCATGTTCTTGGCGTGGGTAAACCTGCTCCACCTTCCTCTAGGACGAGCCGTCGTAGCAGCAGCAGCAACTCCCCACTGCTATGGCTGCTATGGCCGAGTACATCACCGTGTCTGCTTGTGCCCTTGCGCCGCCGACGCATTCGACCTAATCTTCATCGATGATAGCAACGACTATCTCTCTATCCTCCTTGAGCTCCGTCGTCCCTCTCCTCCACTGGCAGCATGCCTTTGCCGCCTTCCTCCCCAATAGCCGCTCCCACGTTCCATCTCACGGCGTTGGCAACTGTGGCTCCAGTATCAGTGTGGTGGACTGCTCACGGGTGGTCTGTAAGTGAGGGGTGGAAGGTATTTTTGTGTGTGTATGACATGTAGGTCCCACTTTGACCCACGTTGATGGAAATCAGGGACTATTCTGCCCTGAAACGTCAGGTATATCGGTATTGCAAGTTATCTGATATTGCAGTTTAAGGATGCAATTCAAACATCAAGACGTAAAGATGAGAGAAAAATAAATGAACTTTTCTTTTCTTTTCTTTCCAAAACAGGCCAAAGTGCCAAACGCTGTTTGTGGATTGATCGCAAAGAAAAAAAAATAAAACAGCAAGTTTCATCCATGATGAAGATACGATATTCTAAATTTCTAATGCAAGCGTACGTGCAACTCGCCACTCCTTTTAACTGACCCTACACCACATCATTGGGCGGAGATTGCATTTGCAAATTGCAATTACCTCCGTTTCTCCACAATCGCATATATCAGAATTTTTGGAACAGAACTATCTGAACAGACAGAGCAGTACATAAATAAAAACATGGCACATAGCAACAAGAAAACCAGAATCATATGTTTATTTATGTTATAAATTAACTTCACATACAACTATTGTCAAAGATTCAAATTAAGCTAGGGGTCACTGGTTAAAATACATTATTACAGTAGCATAGCGTCAACACTAACCATGTAAGAGGTTAAGGTTAAGTTTAAGGCTTGAGGGTTATTTGGTTTGCTACCATTTTCAGCCACAACAAATTTTAGCATTTTAAAGTAACCAACCGAACATCAAACATTGTCTTATATTCTTCCACACCTAAATTGTCTACTTCTAAAACCATTCTCACTCAACACCATACAAAAAAGTTCGGTAAATGCATCAAAACCAAGCACGCCATTTGTTTCGTTCTTATGAGTTGCCAATATATTGTGGTATTTTTCATAAATTCCGTAGGAAAACGGCATATCTTATTATTCTCAAGCCGGCAATTTTACCGGATTGTGATTGGACCACATGGCATCATAAAAACTGAGATAAATCATGCAATTACTAATAGGAAAAAAAAGGAGAAAAACTCATTTGTGCTGCATCAAAAACAGAGAGAAGAGGTTAAGGAAGGGAAGTCTAGAACTTTCTCAAATCTGAACTAGAATGAGATAGAAATCTGCTCTCTTATTCTTCATCGGTTGTTTCAATACCCAACCTCTAGCTCACTAATCTGATTATGCACTAAATGTATTTTCCATCGTACTACTTTACAGGTCCATTAATTTAGTCACTAATAGAAAAATAAATAGATGAGGAAAAGTAGCATTAGGAAAAAAGAAAAAAAATGTTTTGTTTTCAAAATACAACACATTTCACTACAATATTATACAATATTATAGATACTTATCACATTGAAAGCTAAAACACATTAAGAGGTTCTTTGAAGCTCCTTTAGCAAATTCATATTTCACTAAAATATATGTACGTGCCATTGACTAATGGGCATATAAGATAAAGACATGATGGTCATATAGTCAGCGCGCCAAGCTGATTTTCTAGTATATATATATCTAGCTCAATGAAATAAATCTCTATTGATCCGTTTCCACTTCTATACCATTATGACAGCATGACAAACCTTTTATACCATTAAGATATCAGAATAAACAATTATGGTATGACTGAAAGCTCCACAGATGAATCGGTTCACAGTTCTGATATACAGTGTTACCTGGACTCCTAAATTTTTACCGAATCGGACACCCTATATCCAAATTTATGTTCAACATTGAGTCTAACACCCGTGTGAGACTCCAAGAAGGATTCTCATCTATAGTTCTTTTGTGCCAAATTGGAGACGCAAGTCCTGAGTCGGATGTTCGTGTCCATGTAACACTGCTGAGTGCTGATATAACAAACTATATATAAATTCCGAATAAAATCAGTATACTTGGTTGAAAAAACCATACACCATTTGCATTGGCACGGTCGGAAAAGTCCCTACCATTCTCACTACAATGAGGGGTGCTGGCATGGCATTGTTACCATGTCTGCATCTTTCTTTGATCTCTGATAAGTTGGGTGTTTACGGTTGTCCATGTCTATCTCATCGCTGAATTACATCGAGAGAAAGAAAACGGAAATTTAAGAGAAAAAAGTTTAGCAGGATTCCAAATCTACCTCCTCTCCTCCTGTTGCTCAGTAAATCTAAAATTCTAGACATAAAAGAAAGGAGAAGAGATCGAATTGCTGGAGTTGTAGGTGCTCTACTTAGCGTCGGTGTCGGTGGTGTGGGGTTGCTTGCTCACCTCAGCTGTGGCGGCGGCGGCGGACGGGGAGGAACTATTGGTGGCGTTGGTGTTGGTGGCGCTGGCAACGTCGGATGTGGTGTGGGAGTGAGAGGAGCCGGTGAGGTTGGCGTAGAGGTCAACGACACGGGCGATGTTTGTGTTGAGATCCCGGATGAGGGCGACGTTGCGGGTGAGGCGATCGGCATCGCGGGCCTTGTGGTTTTGGCTGATCTCTTGGATCAGCGTGTGGTTCTGCTCCAGGATCCCTCGCACCTCACCTAAGCTAAGTGGCGGGTCCTGCACCACATTCCCCCCTCCCCCATCGCCGCCGTCGTCGCTCCTCGCCATCCCCCCGACCCCTTCGCCGTCACCACCGTTCGCAACCACCACCTCCTCCCCAACATCGTTGTTGATGAAGCTGTCCTCCTCCATCATCCCCAGATCCAGTCGGATTGATTGTTCACTTCTGCAAAGAAAGAAGGGATTCGAATTGAGGAGAAAGATTGTGGGAGATTATAGGGCTCTAGATCTATATGGCCAAATCAAGAATATCTCCCTTGGGAAATGGGGAAGGGCAACAGAAGAAACGAAGTGTACCTTGGAGGAGTCGAAGATCTGATCTGCTGCTGCTGTATAGGAGGATTCCAAGGAGGGTTCAGGCACGGGAAGTGAGAGATTTTGTTGGAGCAGAAGGTGAGAGAGATTTTGGGGAAGAGGAGGAGATCAGGGGTTAGAGTAGGGTGGACAAGACGGAGATGGTAGGTGGCCGCGTTGCGGTTGCGGGTGCGGTACGGCTTGGCTTGATACCTTCTTCGGTGTGGCGTGGGCTATCCCGAGGAAAGGGCCGGGCTGGGCAGATATTTTTATCTGGATCGAAATATGTCGTGTGGATGGCTTTGCTTTTGTGGTAGCCTATGTTTTTGCACTGTTGCTGACTTGGACTTGAGCTTAATATTATGATTCGCAGATCAATCGATCGATTAATTCGACCAGAGATACTAGTGCTGTTGGTACCTGCAACTTGCGTTGCATCGATCGCGATCTATCTATCCATCTATGAACATATACAATCATCCATATAGTATATACAGCCGTACTTTCGAACGAATTCAGTTGTTCAATTTTAGCTGCTGCTTTCATTTTTCCTGCAAATGTCAACTGAAGCTTAATTGCCACCAAACATGAAACTTACCTAATTATTTACCAGCTGCATGCGTTGTGCACCCATCCATCCATCCATTTTTCCATTGACTTGACAAGTCCATGATGCAGCATTTCTCACTCTATCATTGTCGACTCGATCGTTTGTGGTTGTGATGCATACATGGCCCTGATATGTTTGTTTCTTTTTTTAATAGTTTATCTTTAATTGAATTACAACCCTGCTATGTCAAAATTGGCATGCATAAAAGTCATTAATCCAAATTGAGCCATACGTTATTGTGAAAATGGGTGTGAGTGTCATAGTAAATGCACTTGTTTTGGAGGTACAAAGGCATCATTGTGCCCTAAAAAACTAAAAAGGCAAAATTTGCTGAAGGACACATAAACGTGTTGGACACCTAAAAAACATGACACGACTGTACAATGAAAGAATACCTGTAATTTGCAATGGGATACTGTATCCATTATTTTGTTATTTCCGAGCAAGTCAAATGGAGAAAGAAATCCCATAAAAAAACTATTTTGCCTCTCAGGCTAGCAAGTTGTAACACGGCTGGGTCTGGTTCAAACCAGACCCAAGCCACATTCCGTGCTCTAATCCCCTCTTGATCAAAACCTAAAAATTGGAGGCAGCGGCGACAATGTCCACGGCGGAGCCGCGGAGGCCATTACAAGTTGCTGGCCTTGGGGCAAATAAGTCGTTTCTAAATTTTTTCCTCTCTATGTAGCGTAAAAATGATAAAATAACAAATAGTTGTGGTGTTCCCGGCAAATTACCTGGGTTTTGGGTATTCTAGATTCATATCACGTTTTACAGTGCCTAGCAACAAAGACCATAACTCAAACTTTTGAGTGTCCTGTAGCAAATTTTATCAAACTAAAACAAACTTATGTAAATGCATCAAATATCGAGCCCTGAACCATCAAACTTTTCTCGGAAGATCGCATCAAGACGTTCGCTATAAAAGTTAGTCGATATAGCGGAACGACGACTAACCTTTTCTCGATCGCTTCAATCATTGACCACCAAATACATGCTAGATGATGACATAGGAACGCACGATATTTGTTAACAAGGTTTAGCTGAAGCCTACATCCCATCCTCGGGGCTCTGATTATAGGCGCTCCTCCCTAACCAATATAGCACCTAGCTGCTACGAGTCCATGGCCTCGCCGCCATCATCTCCCTGCGTGTCTACGCTACATTGTAGTCACCATGGTTATATAGTGGTGCCCCCCTCTCTATTTAAGAGAGATGGCGAGTTACAGAGTTTGACTCTAACTCCACCCCCTACCATTTATTACAACTCCAAGTCCAACTGTAGCTAAATAGGACTAGTATATTCGACATCTATTCTAACAAAATGTGTCAAAAATAGTAAAAATATAATTGAAATGTAGTAATATATCTCATAAATCCAAGAGTTTGTGGCTCAACCAATGGTGGCTCCTCCTCTTCAATTTGAACTTCCTCATCAATAGGATATGCCTTTTTTTCACCTTTGCTTCATGTTTCCAAAAATGTGATGCAATGTCTCCATTCCTTTTCATGTCTCACTGCAATTTACACCACAAAATAAAGACATAACCAACAATTTTTCACTAACACTACTACTGTCTACTCACTACTGCATAGGGCAACATTGCAAAAAGCCAACAATAAATGTCTACTGACCTTTGAACTTTGTCGGGCAGCAGGAGAGCTGGAGAGGGAGGGGACCTGACACCGGCCGCCGGCAGAATGGCGACGTCGCTTCAACGCCTCCCTTTCTTCCCTTTCCAAGGGGTGGGGGCGACCGCCGGACTGGGCACCTGGGCCCAAGCGCCTAGGCAGCCGGCCTATAGGCGCTTGCCGCCTCCCGCTGGCGTACCGGCGCTGCCCGACAGGGGTGGGGGACTGGAGGAGGCATAGAGGCGGCGCCGAGGCGGAGGCGGAGTCGGGTGGTGCCGAGGAGGACTTGAGGAGGGAGGCAGGAGATGGGGAGGTGGCATGCCGACGCGGAGGCAAAGGCGGGAACCGGGGAGGCGATGTGTCGGGACCATCGTGCCAAGCCTAAGGTGAAGGTGGAGTCGGAGTCGGAGTCGGGACGCGAAGACAAAGGAGGCAGCTGCCAGCCAGCAATGCGTGCGACTATGGCTGGCGGTTGTCTGTGCCTCTCCCTAACCCTAGCACAGCTCAGGGGGTGTCCTCATGGGCAAAATTCTAGGGTGGTCCAGGGATCACCTGAACCGCCCATTGGAACTGCCACTGCTAGCGACGGGGCATTGACCGGAAGAATCTACTTAAATAAGTAGAGAAATATTTTCCTACCAACTATGCTTCAAATAAATTTTTCTCTTAAATTACTCATCTGATCTACGATCCGATTACACTGTTGTGTTCATAACAATTAAATCTTTATAACAAGATATCACATGATTATATTTTTTTAATGAAAACTTACATAATACTTTTTACAATATATATAAATTACCTTTAGATTTCATTAAATTACTTCTTAGACGTATAAAAGTAAATTCAATAAAGCTGAAAAGTAATTTGCATATATAGAAGTAACTTAAAACAAAAGGAAAGTAACTTGTCACGACAATAGAAGTAAATCCGTTTGTGGGGGTAAAAACATGAGTCTATATAAATATTAAATTTAATAAGTACAAATTATGGAATTGACTAAAACCATTTGTCAGGGTTACAGTTAAGGTATACTCTCTACCCTTGGATGTATGCCGTATACTGATATGGTATACCTACGCGTATACGGATGTTTCCTGTACACGTTAAGGAAATTCATCACGTAATAGAAACGGAGTCCACGGATGGAAGGAGTCCTACTCGGACAGAACTGGGTCGTTACTGTATCGTGTGGGGTCCGATGTCTCTGAGTTCTACTTGGAGACCAACTGACCCGCGGTATAAAAGGGACCCCCGGGAGGACCTAAGGCATCGAATCTTACCGCCAACATAACCACCACAGCCTACGAAGTCAGAGCCTATAGGAGCCAAGTCACCGGGTGATCTAGTCGAACCAACTCGACTAGGGTCTCGTCGGTATCATCGAGTTCTGCTATTCCCTTTGTAATCTGTGGTTTCCATTATATAATCCCATACCAACTGGATTAGAGCTATTACCTATCAAGGGGCCTGAACCAGTATAATCCCTTGTCACGTCCCAAATCGACTCTAAAATACATCCTCGAAATTGTGCAAAGAATAATTAAAATTCATGTGAAAGCCTCCAACAATTAAAATGTGCAAAGATAAAAGTCAAATAAGGCTTGGAGGATTTTTGTATATTTCCTAAAAGCCTAAAATGCGTAAATAAATTTTAGTGGAATTTTCAGAGCACAAATAATAATTGAGAAGAAATAAACAAAGTTGAAAAGGTTTATAAAAAGAAAAAACCCTAAAAGAAGTCCTCTTCCCCCCCTTCCTTTCTTGGGCCGGCTCGGCCCACTTCTCTTCCCTCCCTCTCTCTCCTCTCCTCCGGCCCATCGGCTCCTCCCCGCGCGCGCGCCGCTGACAGGCGGGCCCGCCCGCCGCCCTCGCTGACGGGTGGGGCCCACCTGTCATCGCCTTCCTCGCGCCGCGCCCGCCGCCCGCCCGTGCCCTAGCGCCGCCGCCGCCGCCGAATCCGCCGCATCCCGCCGTCCCCGCGCGCATTAAAGTGGGGGGAATTACTCCCCGCGATTCCCTCTCCCGATTCCCCCACTTTCCCCTCTCTCTCTCCCTCGGATTCGTCCGATTTTGTGCTCGCAAAGTTCGCCGGCGCAATCAATGGCGGCCGAGATCTCCGCGCCGGTTTCCATCTCCTCCGGCCGCTTTCCCTCTCTCCCGACGCTATTTAATTGTTCCCCGTGCCTCTCTCCTCCGTTTCCGCCGTTCGCCGCTCGCTCTCACCGTCGGAATCGCGCTCGCGCCGCTTTCCTCTCTCTCCGCCGTCGCCGACGAGTTCCGGTTCGCCGCCGCCGTCGCTCCGGACTTCCTCCCCCCTCGGCGTCGCCTCCTTCGGCTTCGCCGCGTCGTCGTCGACCCCGTCCGCTCCTCCGTTTCGCTCGCCGACCGTCGGAGCGCCGTCGTCCTCGTCGTCCCGAACCGCGCCGCTGCCTTCCTCCGCTTCGGCCGCCGTTCCCGTCGTCGCCGTCGACCGGGGTGAGCCGAAGACCGCTCCATTCGCTTCCCCCTTCCCTCCTCTCTCTCGGGTGCCGCTCCGCCGCGCCGGTGGTCGCCGGCGGTGACCATCGGGGCGCGGGCGCGTCCCCCTCCCGTCGGCCGTGCCGGCGAGGCTGCCTTCGGGCGCGCCCTCGCGGCTGCCAAGTGGGCCCGGCCGTCAGCCGCCCGCGCCCGCGAGTGCGGCTGACGCGTGGGACCCACGGCGCCGGCCGCCGTCAGCCGCGTGCGCCCGGTCCACCGTGGACCGAGAGGCTGACGCGTGGGCCCCACTCCCGTGGACCCGGTCCGCGCGCCCTCTCCCTCGGCTGACGCAATAAACCCGGTTTTTAATTAAAATTTAAATGAAGAAATTCGTAAATATCCATTTAAAGAGCATATAAACTTCAAATGGCCATATCTTGGCCATTTGAACTCGGAATTGGACCGTTCAAGTCTCTAATTTTTCCTTAAGAAGTCAAGAACCCATTTTTGTGCTTTGTTTCTGCTGTTATGTGGAGTTTATTAGAGTAAAAGC